AAACAAACAAACAAACAAACATTATTTATAGTATTATATATTTACAGCTGTATGAATGAAACCTCTTTTCTCTTTTTTTGGCCTGAATTCTTTATATAAATGACTTGGATGTTTACAGTAATTTAACGTGTGTGTGTGTGTGTCTGTGTGTGTGTGTGTGTGTGTAGGATCACTGCAGCAGGTCAGATGGATCGGAGGGACAGTCTGGGCGTGTGCGTGGACAGCCAAAAGGGAGCGGAGTCACTTCAGAGAGACCAGGCCGTCTGCATTTCCACCAATGGTACGTTAACGAGCCTTCGTCAGTCAACGCTCGATTGGATCAGTTTTTGATCTGCTGATGTAGAGCAGTGTTGTGGTACTGGATCCATTCAACCCTCATTTACACCTGGTATTTAACTCTGTTAGGTTATCCGGATAATGAACGAGCCGATCTTGCATAATGCATCTTTTGCCGCTTTGATTGTGAGATATTTTCACCTTGCATTACCTTTGTGTTTTTATTTTTCTTGATACAGATCACATTTTAATACCTGGTGTAAATGGGATGTGAATGTAAACAGAACTTTCTTTCATTACAAGCAGTGGTTAACAACCTTTTTCCTTAAAAGGCCCCTTTTTCTATCGTTTAGTTAACTAACATTTTATAGATATTTCATAATATATTCGAATTGTACAATGAACCCAAATAATGAACCCAATAACTGCAGGAAGTTTGTGTAAAATGAGAGATTTGGATGAATTTTGAGCAGATTATTTCCTGTTTTAGGAGCTTTTTATACAATTGTTGTTTTTAAGTTTATAAGTTTTCTAGTACGTCTTAAAATTAAGAAGGCCTCGCGACCTCATATGAAGCTTTGGGGACTTCTAGTGGGGGACCCGACCACTTTTAGCTCTACTTTGTGATTATCCTGTTGTAGCGTAACTCTCACACTACTTGCAGACTAACTTTTACTTTAATTTTAAAAGTGAAATTTATTTAATGATCCGATTCGTTCACACTCGACGTCCAGGTGCTGTTTTCGTCAACGGCAAAGAGATGACCAACCAGCTGCCCGCCATCACCGTGGGCTCCGCTGTGACCTTCGACATGGAGGTGGTGAACCTGTTCCCCATCAGCAACAACAACCTGAGCGAGGGCGGCAACTTCAAGCTGAGGGTGACCATCGGCTCGGGGAACCGGGAGGTGGTGTTCGATTGGCTGGTGGACCAGGCGGTGGACTGCCTCTTCTTCGGCTGCTCATTCGTCCACTCCGGCTGGAAAGTGCTCGTGTTTTAAAGAGCTGGATGGATCCTTTAATGTGCTGGAGCTTAGGAGCTGTCACCCAGATCTGTTGTTCTTTTCCTCTCACACTGAGCCACTGACAGGGTCACAAGTCTCAAAAAAAAAAGGGAAAAAATGGGAAATGTCTCACTACAATTTCTCCAGATTTTCCACATTCGTCCGTAATTCACTGGTCAGGGTTCTAATGCAAACTGGAAAACTTGTAAATCCGCCATCAAGCGTTGGACAGCACGTCCTGGAAAACAGTTCTGAGCTCGATCTGCAGCATTTATCAGTTTTACTTCTGCTTGTTTTGCTTAAAACAGCTCGAGGCGCAGATTCAGTGCGTTTACACGGAGTCGGGACGGTCAAGAGGGCGTCACGACGTTACAGAGACTACGTCCATTTTTAATTCTCTGATCTTCATGTTTGTTTCTGTAGCAAGTCTCTCTGCTACCGTGGGTTCCCTCAGCACACAATGCGACAGCACAGGTCCGTTAGTCAACACGACTTTTATTAGCTCGTAGCTGCAGCCACAGATAACATATGCTGTTAGAGAGCTAGCTAAGATTGATTGATGGGCTGATGCTTCCAGACTCCGAGTAAACCCTGTCAGTGTCCACAGTTCTGCTTCATGTGAACCGCTCACAAACAGAAACTGGGCTGCGTTACCCGACCACGATCCAGCTCTTCTCCAGCCTTCAGGGAGCCACGCTCATCGCTTCTTCTTCTTCTTCTTCTTCTTCTTCTTCTTCTCTGCTTTTAGTTTTGATTCCCGGGCCTTCTTGCAAGGACGGACGTTTGTTTACAGCTTTGTTTTCCTTTAAAAATCCTGCCAGGGCGTACATGTGTTGTTCCTCGGAGGTCACAAGATAATAGATACGTCTTTTTGGAGCAGCAGGAAAAGTAAAAACACATTTAAAATCTGCTGCTGGTGTTTTCTTTTCTTTTTTTTATCTTAACAGAAACCTCACTGTGAAACTTAACTTAAACGTGTTCATTGGAGGTTTAAAGGGACAGTTCGCCAAAAACACAAACCAGCCTGAGTTTCATCTGCGTGTCTGAGGAGGACGCCAACGATAAAAGGCCTAAAATGGCACAAAGACGCTTAAAAGATCAAATTGTGTCTCACTGTGTGTATTTGTTTTTCCTGCTAATATTTTCTGTTTTCACGGCTTCATACTTTTGTTTAGCTTGTGTCCAATCAGGGGTTTAGAGTAGAGAAATGTTAGAGTTAGTCGATAAGTTTCACAACAGAGGCTGTCCTGTTATCTTTAGTGTCATTATCTCTATATAAGTGTTTTCTTGCAATGTCGTAACCCAGATCTGATGTTAAAACCCTTGTTCAAGTCTATGGAAGCCCATTTCTGCCAATGTGATGAGACAAAAAGGATCCTGAAAGTCTTTAAAAAGAAACATTATCAATATTTTGGCTTATTGTCTCAAAATAATGAGACTTTGTCACAGATGCCTTTCTTTTTCCCCACATTGGCAGAAATGGGCTTCCGTAAGATGAAATGAAACAGCCTTTTATCCGCAGATGTCAGATAATGTTAAAACTGAATTATCTTGAATTTAAAAACTAAATCCGAGCATCTGGAGCTCGAGGATTCATTCCTGATTAAAAACTTAAGAGATGCAGTTGAAAGCTCCAGAAGAAGCAAGTTATTTTTCTTCATATCAAACCAAACTCTTGAGATAATTGAAGCTGTTTTACTGTCTCGTGAAGAAGGATAAATATACCAGAATCAAATTTCTGACGACTCAACGGGCAGAAGAAACAGTTTTTGGCTGAACTGTCGCCTTTAAAATAATCCAACTGTTACTTTACTATTTTAGCTTTTTGCATTGACAATCCGTAACAGTATTTACAAAACCTGTTGTTTTTAGTGGGAGGAGCCTGTATGAGTGCTGGTTATTGATCGTTAGGTCCAGTTTACACAGTTAGCGAGCTAGCTAGCCAACTTAAGATGTGACTATACATGTGTTGCTTTTATTTTTTAACCATCTTCAAAATGTGGTTGTCTTTTCAACATAGATTAGCTTAGCATATAGCATATTTATGTACAGTAAAGGAGGAAGTTGACCGAGGCTTGCTCAGCTGTTATTGGAGCACAGAGGGGAAAGGGGCGGGGCTATATAAGAGTCTCTAACTCTGGTACATCATGATGTTCAACCCTGGTTTTTCCACTATATTTATGTTACTTTCAGTTTTTGTAACGATGTTGCTTCTGCTTTAACGCTGCTGCAGTTATTTGAAAAAAGTCAGTTTTACGAGTTCTGGATAAAAGAAAAAGAGTGAAGAAAGTCTTGTATTCTTGGTGTTGTTCCCTCTTCTTTCTGAGGCAACAAATCGGTTTTATTTCATTGTGCAAATTTGAAACGAGAATAAACATTAGTGGGTGTTCGTCCTGCACACGCTCACTACCACTCACTTTTATTAAATGTCAAATATGCAGATTGTTTTTATTTTGTCTTTG